GCACTTATTATAAAAAAATTTATTGAGCCCTGGCCAGCTTGGCTCAGCGGTTAGAGCGTCTGCCTGCGGTCCGGAGAGACCCGGGTTCGGTTCCCGCTAAGGGCACGTACTTCGGTTGCAATTTGTCCCCGGCCCTGGTTGGTCATGTGGGTGGCAGCCACTCGATGTGTCCCTTCACGTCGATGTTTCTCTCTCTCTCTCCCTTCCTCTCTCTCCCTCCCACTCTATCTGTACAAAAAATGGAAAAATATCCTCGGGTGAGGATAAAAAACAAAAAATTTATTGATAAAAGTAATATAATCACATTAGAGAAACATATAGGAAAAGTAGGGGAAATAGGAAAAACGTACATGCATATGTATGTGCATGAGTATATACAGATATATGTATATCACAATATCATCCTCCTTACAGAGTCACTGGGATCATTTTATTGTACAGTTGACCCTCAAACAATGTGGGTTTGAACTACTCAGGTCCACTTATAGGCAAATTTTTTCAGTTGACCTGCGCAGTTCAAACTCCTGTTGTTCAAGGTTCAGCTCTGTGACTTGGAATCCATGGACATAGAGGGCCCACTATAGTCTGTGAATTTTGGATTGTGCAGGAGATCTGTTCCCCTAACTGTTGCATTGATCATAGGTCAATCATTTATCCTTCTAAGATTTTTTTCATACGCACATATTTTTACATCATACATTCAGTTTGGTTAGAGTCATATAGGAAAATCAAAGGGAATTATGATCTAGCTACCTGCCCTTTAAAAACAAAACCAACATTATACAATATGCATTTCTTCTCGTAACCCTAGCCACCATTTTTAACGGTTACATAACAGCCCAACAAATAGATATGTTACAGTATACTACCTAACCATTCCAATGTTGTTGTTGAATATTTAGGTCTCCCTCCTTTTTTTTTATTATTTTAAGTAAGAGAGAACTCACCACCTTCATATACACAGCTTTTCCATATTTTGGATTGGTTTATTTCCTTAGAATAGATTACCAAGAATAATAGATGTTATAAGTTAAACATATTTGTTCTTTTGGCTCATATTAGTTAGGAGGAATATATATACATGTATATATGATGTTTCAATTTCACTTCCTCTAATTATTAGTGATGCTAATTATTTACTATTTATTTCCTCTTTTGTGAATTGTCTGTTCCTATCTTCTACCTATTTATCTGAATATTAGTGTTTTAAAAAGTCAAATTGAATAAAGTTTTAACTCTTTCTATATTTGCCTCTTATGGTAAAATTTTAGCTGTAAAATAAAATTTCATTGCAGAAAATTTGAAAACTAGAGAAATATATTTTTAAAATATCAATAATTCGCCCTAGCCGGTTTGGCTCAGCAGTTAGAGTGTCTGCCTACGGATCAGAGAGACCGGGTTCGGTTCCCGCTAAGGGAACTTATCGTGGTTGCAGTTTGTCCCCAGCCTTGGTTGGGTTGTGTGGGAGGCAGCCACTTGGTGTGTACCTTTCACCTCGATGTTTCTCTCTCTCTCTCCCTCCTACTCTATTTGAACGAAAAAAATGTCCTCGGGTGAGGATAAAAAAATAATAATAAAATATCAATAATCCTGCCATCCTAACATAATCACTATTATCATTACATCTAATTTTTCCCCACACCTATGTGGTTTACAAAGTTGTAACTGCAGTGTACATATAATTTTAAAACATACTTTTTCATTAGCACATAAGTATTTTTCTGAAATGCCCTGTAGTCTTTATAATTATTACTTAAAATAATAGCATAATAATCCATGGAGAGGATTCACCATTTCCTTATTGCTAGACATTCACGTTATTTATTTACTTTTAAATACATAACACTGATAAATACCTTCATACAAATAGTTTTTTCTATATTTTGAATTGTTTTCTTAGAAAACATTCTTAGGAGTAGGCTTACTACATAAAAGAGTATTAACACATGCAGGCTTCCAAATCGCTTTCTTAAGGGTTGAACCAAATGGCACTATTACTAGTAAACTGAGTACCATCTTCTTCAATTATGTTAACTACAGACTTAAAAAGAGGCTACCTCGTTGTTTTAATTTACATTTCTTGGTTGGTAGTGATTAACAGTGTCCCACATCTTCCAGTTGTACTTAACCTCTTCGGCAAGTTGTCTAGTCATGTTTTTTGCCTGTATTTCTTCCTATATATCATATTATATGAGTACCTTAGAAAATGCAAACCTATCAAGCTTCATCATGTTTACTTTAACTATGTCTTTTCAGTATATGTTTAGGTTTTATTTTTTAAGTGGCCACAAAAGTTTTAAGTTATTTTGGTTTTGAAATTTTTATACAGTCAAATTTGTTGATCCCATCCTTCATGAGTTTCCTCTCTTACTTCCTAAAGCTTAGAAAACTATTCCCCTTCAGAGACTTGATAAATATTCATTCATTCTAGTTTTTTCAAATTTGCTTTTTCATATTTAACTCTTCAATCCAGCTGCCACTTACTTGAGTTTATTACAGGAGATGAGAGCATAAATGCTCCAAGCTGTCACAACAGCGTTTACTGAACAATCCTTTGTAACAGATTGAATTCTCATATGTAACTGTCTCTTTGGGGAGTTTACCATAATATCATCTGTCATATCTTCTACCTGTGGTATCACTGTTTTCATTATTCTAGTTTTGTATGTTTAATATATAATAGCATTAGTCCCTCATTAATCTTCCTTTGCAGAATCTTCTTTGAAAATCACTCTTCTTTAGCTTTCAAACCTAATTATTGCTGTCTTACCTCTGTGATATGAATTCTTGAGGGAAGAACTGGTTTATTTCATTAAAACAGATTGCTAGGAATAATATTACTAGGTCAAGAGGTATGAACAAAATGTTTCCCCCACTCTTATTTCCAAAGTTTTTAAAAAGAATGCGCCAGTTTCATTATAACCCTGCCAGTATCTGGATATTTTTGAAGTAAAGATCATTTTTCAAAAGTGTCAGGGGGGAAAATATACCACATTTCAATTTATACACCTCTGCTTATTAGTGATGATAAACATATACTTGACATATAGTAGCTTCTTAATCAATCCATGTTGAATGAATAAAAGGCATGTATGAATCTATACATGTATTTGGGGATGGAAAAATATTGTGGTTATAAAAGATAAATGTTGACTAGATGTAAGTTTGTGGGCTAAATCTCTGTAGTCCATCTGCAGAGAGGTTCTAGAGGTATCAAGAACCCCCTGAATTGGGACAATCAATCCCTAGAAACACTCTATAATTTACATTTTTACCACATGTGTGTCTGTTTCGAAGTAGGACCATCTGAAAGCTGTCTGAAATAGTTATAATGATGGTGTGTGTGTATGCCCACACCTACACACAGCCCAGAAGGAGCCATGACTGGCTTAAGATAGAGTGTTCTTCCTTTGGCAGCAAAACAGTGGTAAGAAGTATCAGGTATCTCGGTATTCCCCTGGAAACTGACCCAGGCCCTAGCAGGCCTTAAGCAATGAATTTAAATACATAAGCTCCTCACTATACCATTTTTGTGTTCTTTGTTTTTGTTCTAGAATTGTGGTGCCTAGTACTATGCTACGTTGTGTAGTACCAATAAAATGTTGCATCTTTCTTGCTTGTTTTCCAAATTCAGTATTGATGAATCGACTTCTGATGTAGCATTAGAAAGGTATTCTCATAAATTACAAACATTAAAATTTATTTTAATAAAATAAATACATAAGCTCCTCCAAGTGCCACATTCAAACTAGATCAGACTCACAGGACCAGGCATTTTCCATGAAAGCACACTGTTCTCTTCAACTTGCTAAACACAAGAAGGCATATAAGCCCCTGACTCAGGGAAATGCTCTTCCCCCTTATCTGTAGCTTGAAGGAGAGGTCATTTTTTTTTCTCTTTGGGATTGCAGCAAAAGCTAGCCAAAGGCGGGCTGTTTCTCTTTGTTTTTAAGGCCATTTAAAACTTCTTGCTAAACACTGGTTCTCTTAGCTCTATCAACTCAGTAGATTTTAGTAGTAAACTTTCTCAAGGACTTCCTTGGTTATGAAATCTGTCGATTTGGTGAAAAGAATTCCATGTTATTATATTAACCTGCATATGCTGAATGTGTGCTTAAGATTTTATTCTGAAAAAACAAAGTGCTGTTTTGTGGAGACTCAAGGACACTGGAGACTATCAAGGTCATGACCGGTAGTATGAACAACTGGTGTATTTAGCACATTGTTTAATTCAGAGTTTTACAAACCCTTCTTCTCCAACGTGTATTAAGTACTACAGACATATCAAGCAAGATGCCAAATGCTGAATGAGGCCCAGCAGTCCTTGTCAGATACAGAGTATAGCTGTTTCAACTGCTGACTACTAAGCTGGTGATACCTAATTCTCAGCTGCTACTTTCCTTGGAGAAGGCAGCATGAGCCTCCTTCTTGATTCTTCAGCCTGTTGTTTTAAATCTATTCTCATCAATTGTCCACCTATTTGAAAATGTTTGTTACATCTTTCAAGACCTAGTTGTATAATGAACTTTTTCTAAGACCTCCTATGATTAATTTCTCCCTGATGCTAAATTTCTTCAGCTCATACGTATATTCAGTTGGTACCAAAACTGATGTTGCTCCCTAGTTATTCCAGTTTTGTTAATGTTTCTAGAGTATAAATTCCTTGAAGAGAGGGATTTCCAGAAAGATGAAAAGGAATTTTGAGATTATATCCTTTGCCCTGCACATTTTCCCGATGAAGAAACTGAGGCCTAAAGAGATTAATCTGTCCTAGTCAGTTAGCAAAGTTCGCAGAAAAAGCCTAGGGTCCTGACTTTCAACAGTTCACTTTCCACTATACTATGTTATCTATTTCACTTGCATCTCTTCAGAATGTCTAATAAAGTGCTAATATATAGACAGGTCTCTCAATAAATGCAAATACAATAAGCACATGAGCTTACATAACTGAAGAACCGACTCGAGGAAAGAGGCAGAAAGCAGAAAGGTCATTTTCTTACTTCTTTGCATGATGCCACCCTCCAGACCAGTTAATCGCTACTTTGCACATTCCATCAATCAGGCACTGGGCAGCTGTGATTGTAGCCCCTCCCACAGCTGCTGCGTAGTCAAATATCCCTTCAGTAGCTGGGCAGTCATAACCTTTGGGCAAACATCAAAATAGCTTGTTAAAAGATGAATTGGAGAAAGAGAAGGTGTGATATTGTGATTTATATAAGAAATATATATTCTATGTTTGTCCCCATTTCTGGTAGAGTTCCAAAAACTCTTGGAATTTCGTAAGTGATGAGAGCAATTGATAACGGTGTCTTTATCAAGACACCTACATAACATAACAAGTAGACCACACCTACAGATGGGGGCTGGTTGCCAGTGGAACCAACCATGTGATTGGAGGGTTGGAAATTTCAGTCCTACTCTCTGACCTCCAGTGAGGGGAGGGGAGCTGGAGATTTAATTCAATCACCAACTTGTCAGTGATTTAATCACCCATACCTATGTAATACAGTCTCTATAAAAACCCAAGAGCAGAGGGTTCAGAAAGCTTCCAGGTTGATGAACATGTGGAGATTTGTGGAAAGTGGCACACTTGGAAAAGGCATGGAAACTCTGAATCCTCTCGCCCATACCTTGCCCTGAGCATCTCTTCTATTTGGCTGTTCCTCATTATAGCCTTTTACAGTTGACTCTAACCACACAGTAGTTCCATCCTGCGCAGTTGAAAATTCATGTACCAGCTTTTGAGTCCCGAAAAACCTGTACTAATAGACTACTGCTGACCAGAAGCCTTACCAATAACATAGTCAGTTAACACATATTCTGTAAGTTATATGTATATATACTGTATTGTTACAATAAAGTAAGCCAAAGAAAAGGTTATTAATAAAATCAGAAGGAAGAGAAAAAATATTTTACAGTATCTATTGAAAAACATCCACATATAAGTGGACCTGCACAGTCCAAACCTGTGTTGTTCAAGGGTCAACTGTATAATTACCAGGTAATCTAGAGAGTAAATGGGTTTCCTGAGTTCTGTGAGCCACTCTAGCAAATTAATAAAACCCAAGGAGTGGGTCAGAAGTACAGGTAACAACCTGGGCTTGTGATTGTCATCTGAAATGAGCAGCAGTCTTGAGGGACTAAGCCCTTTATCTGTGGAATTTGATACCATCTCCAGGTAGATAGAGTCAGAATTGAATTGTAGGACACCCAGCTGGTGTCATGAGCATTGCTTAGTGGGGTGGGGGGTAAACCCCTTCTCCACACATTGGAATTGGGTCCAGAACCCTATTAGGAGGAATAGGTTGAAGTACGACAACAACGTACCCAAGCAAACGAGAGAAACATCTCCAATACTGGGAAAAGAATGCTTTCAAGTGTTGAGCTAGAAAGGCTAAACCTTCAAGATTAACTAGTCACACCCTACACATGGAGATACTGAAGTCTAATAGGAGATATGCCTTATCTATAGTCACAAAGGGCAGGCCTGGGACACGGGTTTCTTGCCCCCCTCCAGTCCAGTTCTACTAAACCATGTTGTTTCTCTAAATTATCCTATTAACCACTTCCAATTTTTTTTAAATGCAGCTGTTTAATGAGAGATAAAGTAGAAAAAGTAGCCAGAACATAAATCTGTACTCAAGTTAAAATGTATGGTAACAGGACAGTTAAACTCATATACATGCAGTCAGACCCAAGCAAGTGAAAGATTTTCCTCCATCTGATCCATCATTCAGTTCTGCTCAACTCAGACGGTTTGCTTGTTAAGTGAAATGTATGTGGTTAAACTGAGAGATCAAGTTTGTGGTGAACATATTAGTTCTTAATTAAAAAATATTAAAGACCAGCATGCACGTTATAAAAGAGAGTAAGTAGTTCTGATCTATAGATGAAGGTTGTATATCTCCCACCATTGATCGGTAATGACATTACCTAGGCCATATTCTATGGAGTCTGGATGGTCGTCATCTCCTTCTTGGCTGACCTTCTGGAGATGTTGCAGATAGGCATCAGTGTGGAAGGTGGCCATCTCCTCCATGGAGGCCACTTTGGGCTTAACTATTCTAATAATAACAGAACAAAGAGATGTGAGTGAGTCAGATCCAGAAGCTGGCAGCAGGAAGCAGTAATCTGAGCAGAAATACAACTCCTAGTTTCTGGTTCCAGGGGTGGAGTAATAAACATGTTCTGTTCTTCCACTGCACTGTACAGTCTTCATTTCTTCACATCTATGCAATGGCTCCATCAATGAGGGTGAGAGGGTAGATTTTTCCCGTGAGTTTATGGGTAGTAAAGTATATTTACGTTAAATAATCAGGTCTTGGACAAACATGATTCTGTGAGTTACAACTTTCATGACAAACCAGTAGGCTGAGACTTTTTCATTTGAATCAGCTCCTAATTGGACCATGTGATCCTTTCAGCTATATTTTTACTTTCATAGGCAGCTGTGTTATGAATTTTGGATCTGAAGTCAGAGAACTCTATTCCTGCCCTAACTCTGTACTTACCAGCTCTATAACCTCAGGTAAGAAGACTCTTCTGTAGTTCAGTTACCTCATCTGTAAAGTGGGGAGATCTTATGGAACTTATGTGAAGATTGAATTATACCATATATTAAAATGCTTTGGGGATAATTATCACTGTTAATATTAAAGGATAAAAAAGGCAACTGAAAACATACAAGTTCCTGTGCTTGGTCCCTCACACCTGTCTCTGAGGGGAAGGAGAGGATGGACAAACAGTTGGACCTGGGCTTCACCCAGAAGCTCCCAACCACCTCCTCATAAGAAGTGACAAACAGGAGTGACTGAGAGAATACAGGATGCTAAGCCAACCACAGGACTTAGCACCTCTAACCTCTATCTGCCTACTTATTCCCCAGTTCCTCCTCCTGACTCCACCACTGCCACTACTGCTCTCTAACCCTGGCCACTCAAACGGTGGTCTATGGACTGACAGCAGCATCACCTGGGAGCTACTTAGAAAGGCAGCACTTCAGCCTAACTTCAGACCAACTGAATCAGAATTTGTATTTTAACAAGGTAATTTATATGCATATTAAAGTTAGAAAAGCAATAACCTTGACACCACAGGGAGTCAGTAATGTTTTTTGTTTTTTTTTAACGTTTGCTGATTCGGAACAGGGCCGGGAGTTTCTTCCAAATTAGTATGACTTTTCAGGCTACAACAATCACCAAACAGGCCAGAAGAATCCTGAGGCTCAGCCTCAAAAAGTAAATATATATAGCCAAGATTGAAGGATTTGATTCTTGCTCCTTCTTCAAGAAAATATGTCTACATCCTTGGAGGTGACAAATCTGCCCATTCAAATAAAAATTTTTAGTTTCTGTTTCCCAGCCCTAACAGCTCCCTCTTCTAACAATCTTCTTCTTATTTAACAAATGTTTACTGAAAGCCTCCCTGAATAACCGACAAGGAAATGTGGCAGTTTTGCTTTGTTTTGGTTTCTTGTCTCAGTTGTTGAAATATTAAATGACTTTAATGAAAGGCATGTAGTTTTTATGTTTATCAAATATATGGGTTAAAAAATGGTTGAAAAAACATTCCTAAAGAAGGTACTCAATAAATGATTAAGTTAATAATAAGAATAAAATTTGAAAGCCTGGTACAGTACGTCTGGGAGAGAAATGAGGCGTGCCACACTAACAGGTGTAAACAGACAATTATTTGGCCAGAAAAGTCATAAATAATCCTACAAGTGTCAGGGTTATATTTACTCTTGAAATGACCAAAAATGAGGGCTTTTTTTTTTTTTAAAAAGATGTACTTAGCTCTGTGCCTGGTCACAGGAGTTTGCTTTGGTTTTGACTTGTGTGTGGGCTCACTGATTAAAATTTGGTGGTGGTTATGGGGTGTCTAAAAGTCTTAAGTTGAATCACACCCTCAGATCTGACTTAGAAAAAAAAAGATCCAAACCAGAACACCTTTTACCTGGACACCTATTTTTTAGTACCCAAATGTACTCACCTCAAAATCTCCACAAGGGATCTATCCCCAGGATACTTTCTTTTCAATTTATTTTTATTGAATTTACCGGGGTGACATTGGTCAATCAAATTATATAGGTTTCAGGTGTACAATTCTAGACTGCATCATGTGTATATTGTATTGTGTGTTCATCAGGATGGTTTCCCTCTCGCAGTCAAGTCCTCTTTGAAATGGATCTGAAGTGCTTCGGGCACTCTTGTCAAGTTTTCTTAATTGCTAAAAAGCTTTTACAGGCAAATTACAAACCCTGTGGATCACAAAAAGCTTTAAAAGAAGGACCACTCTCCCTAATTAGTCCCATTGTGAAGCAGGATGTTAAGGCTAGGACCACCTGGGTTCGGGGCTTTGTTCATGAAAGATAACTTACCTCATTTGCTTAGGGAGTGAATATGCTTCAATCAAAGAATGTACCATACTGGCCTAAGAAAATTAGCAGAAAGAAAAGAAAGGGGAAAAAGCAGAAAGGAGTCTCTTAATGTTTAATTCACACACACTGCGTCGACTTCATCACCCTGAACAAAGGAATGAACTTTTAGCCTCCCTCCCTCGGTTTTACTTAACAGTTACCATGCACTTGAGGCATTATGGATACAAAGTCTCTAAGTCGCGGAGGAGAATGCTGCCGGGCCGGATCGAGGCGCTGGACCACTTTTCTCCTGCAGCTTCTTCTCCACGACTTCAGGGACCCCTTACAGTGGGGACACCACCCGTCAGTGCCATCCCCGAACCCTCCGCACCCCGCCCCCACCTGTGCCCGCTGGGCGCCCGGCTGAGAAACGCTGCGCTCTCAGAAACCGTGAGGGAACACTTCCTCCATCGCCTGGTACAGTTGCCCAAATTACTGCTGAAGATTCCCCCAGCCCAGTACCTTCTTCGCTCCCCAATGCCCTCCCGTCCACCCCGCCCCACCCCCACCCTTCCGCCACCGCAAAAGCCCATGGTCTTTCATCCCAACCTCTCTTACCCGTTTGGGGACTTTGGCCAGGGAGTCGCACATGCTGACATACTCGGGACTGTAGATGTACACCGGGGGCAGCGACTGCCCACTGTCCGCAGGTTCCTCGGGCTCCTCCATCTTCCACTTCCAGCCGTTCCGGAGCCACCATCCGGATCCGGCGTTTTTCGGACTCAGCCCGGGCTCCGGTTCCTGCTCCTCTGATCGGCCGCAGCGGTGCTACCCGGTCAACATTCCCTCCTAATTTTGCAGATCGCCAGAGTCACTGTCCTCGCTCCCCATCCAACTGAAGACATGCATAGGCCTTCCCAGGCCAGAGCCCCTTCAGTTAGTGACCACAGTTCAAAAACGGGAGGTAGGCAGATATAAAAGCCCAGATAACTGCCAATTAGGATCGATGTTTTATGGCACAAAAAAGCACGGTCAAAACTAACCATCCTTGTTGCCCTACGGGGCCATTTGAGATGAGGTCAGACCAGCTTCAGAGCATGCTGGGAGATGTAGTTTCCAGGAGTATGAGAGGCGGAAGAACTGGGGCTAATTACTAAAATAGCCCAAATTTGTTCTAGCGCTAAAATAAATAAATAAATAAATAAAGCCACGACTCTTTATGAATTGTTTCAATCTGAAAATACACCCATGTAAACTGTTAAAAACATACACAACGTGGGCACCAAGGGCACCACCCAGCTACATTAGAGTGACTTTTTTGGTGGAGGACCAATTAATGCTACAAAGGGTTTGAAAAGTTTACACTTTCCTGTAAATTCTGTGCCTCTGTGCCCTCATTGCTTTTCATCACCTGTCCATGTTGATGTAAGAGTTAACAATCTCATATGTACAGATAAAAGTATCTGCTTACACCTTTAGTGCACATGCTGTCAAATTACTCCTTGAAAACTCATGTGCCTAATGGTGTAAGCAGATACTTTCAGTGATGTTCAGAGACCAGTTATCTTCCTCCCTCCCTTTGCTTTTGCAGCTCTTGAAAGGTTAGGAAAATATGTTCAGTTTCATGTGAGGGTCCACATTAAAGAATATGCTGAAGCAGTTTTAGAATTACTATCGGTATTTCCAAGTTCCTAAGGGACCCTATGTGCTAATGAAAGCTGGTCAATGCCAAAGCCTGAACTGACCTACTAACAGCCTTCAGACAACCCAATATCCTCACCTTCTTCAAAATATACCTTGCTTTTAACTCTCCAAACCTTTATTGAGCATTGTGATGTAAACTTGTATATATTATCTCATTTTATCCTTGCAACAGCCCTATGAAGGAGGTTGCAATACACCATTTTACAGATGCAGTTTAGAGAGAAAAAAAATAACCGTTCAAAGTCACACACTTAACAAACAGAAAGCAGAAATTCAAAACCAGGAAGATTTTGAACATGCCCTTTACTGTATAAACTTTCTTCCTCCAAGATGACTTTGTGTTAAATCTAAATTTGTTCCACCATCCATTTAGTATCTCCACAAAGCTTAGTATTCTGCAAATGTTTCTTTTCCCTGTGTGTGTTCTTTAACTAAAATGTAAGCTCTCGTGCTTTTTATATTTTCCCATAGCAACTAGTTTAAAGGTCTGCAAAAATTAAGTCATTTATCAAACATTTATCTGACATCTGACTAAATCTAAGGTACAGATGAGTATTCAATCCTCAAGATAAATTACAATATGATCTCTGCTCCCAGGGAATTTGCATTCTTATAGAGATGAGACAAATACCCCAAAAACCTATATGCAACACAGAGTCAGATAATGAATGTAGGATTACTTAATAAATAAGCATCAAGTACTCAATAACTAGTCCTTAAATGGCAACTGGGATTCCTACTCAGCGTCATTAGAGGGAGTCTTAGCAGATGGGCAGGATTTTACTTGATGAAGATGGGAGCCAGGAAAGGGCATACAGGGTAGAATCAACAGCACAAGCAAAAATACAAAGGAAAATATTTCTAGTCTAGTTTAGGTGAAGGGGCTGGATCATGAAAGGTTTCAAATGCCAGGCTAAAGATAACAGACTTCATCCTGTGGCAAATGGGGAGACATTTAAACAGAAATATTTATTTTAGAAAACGATTTCTACAGCAGTGGTATGTAGGAAAGATGGGCCATTGAAGGACTAGAGGCAAGGAGAGTGCCACAATGGTCCAGATGGGAAGTAATGATGATTTAAACTAGGGTAGGGGCAACGGAAACAATGGAGAAACAACATACAGGGTAGGCTCAATAGGACCTCCTTACTACTTGGATATTGGTGACGGAGAGGGAGATGGAAGAGAGTCACTGAAAACTCTGAAATTTAAAGTCTAGTTGAAGACAAGGCTAGTAGTATCAATATAAAGAGGAAAACAAAAAGGAACAACTCATAGGGTAGAGCAGAATGAACATTAGTTTGATTTTTAAAATGTTAAAAGTGTTGCTTTTTCTACATTGGAAAGAGATAGCTAAAATCATCAGTGGGTGAGATAGTCAAGGGAACTACACTGGAATGTCTAAGAGTCACATCTTACTTGTTTGATCTGAAGCAATTTCCTTAAAGGCCAAGTGCCCATATAACAATGTTTGGCATTAGGCCAAACAATCCTTAATTTGGGGGAAAGTTTGCCCCCATTGTTGTCATCATCCCCATTTCACTACTGCATGAGTATTGCTAGCAGTTTGAGAATAGGTCCTTGGCTTTTAGGCCTAACCTTAAAAGAAATCAGACTCCTGCTAAATATAGGGTGACCATATCATCCAAACTGGGGAACTTTTGAAAGTGACAGAGAATGCTATTAATAATTATGCTGGGACAACAGGCATAAATGGGGACTGTCCTGCGCAAACCAAGACCTAAGGCAGCTCAAGTGTACTAGGAGATGAAGACTAAATGTGGAAAACACTGAACCTCTATGGCATTAGTACAGGTACTAGGCATTTGGTAAATGCAAAAGGGGATGGTAGAGGTTTTGTGAGCTGTGGTTAAAAACAACTTTTGCCCCACCAGCTGCATAAAATTCCCAGAATGTAGTAAAACCTAATTAACCAGGATGGGCCTGTAGTGACTGTTCATCCTTACTGGGTAAACCCTCTTTGATTACACAAAAGACTAATGAGTAATACAAACAAGAATCTGCTGAATATTTATAGTACTTAAGAGAACAAATTGTTCTTAGAGACTTCCAGTAGGGCATAGCTGTTAATGCTGAGTAAAAATCAGTCTCATTCATTCATCAGAACAGGTTCCCTAAAGATGTCAATAAACCCAGCTGAATTCAGTGAGCCTAGATTAAGCGGGTATTTGAATGGTAAAACTGCATTTTTTATATTTATTATATATTATATAATGTACATGTGATTTATGTATTAATAATTTTCTACTTGGACCCAACTAATGAGCTTTGACTGTAGTGTGTAACTAGTGTACATAAAAGAGTCATGAAACAACTCCAATCACAAAAACACATGATAAGTTTTATACACTGGCACCAGATGTGATTTAATCAAAAATTCTATTTTTTATTCTATTTTAAAAACAAAAGTGCTTTTAAAGGAATCCAACATCTTTTAGTATCACATAAATGAGTAAAATACAAATCAAGTTTTCTAAAAAGTTGGTTTAAAAGTCATCAACATAGTGAGAGGGGAGCCTAGTGCTAGACAAGTTGGCAAACCCAGAGAAATGCAGCCATCAGTGTCAGTTCAGGCAAATTAGTGTGGGAGGCAGTGGTGGTTTCCACCTGTGCCACTACAGATGTACTCCACATGGTTGGGGCACACTTGCAGTTAGTGAAGACAAAATTGCAGAACAGGTTATAGATTACCTTTATACGTGACCAGAAAATCATATGAGCAGAAATCTGTGTTTCCGTTTTCTCTAACAGAGGTACTGAGAAGGCTGGCCATCTTCTCTTTGTTTCTATCTGTTTTCTATCACCCTGCTCTGCTCACTTATTCATGTGTACTCAAAAGACTGTCACTGGTTCTGTAAGAATTATTTAGGGTCCCCCATCTCCATCCCCTTTCTTGGAGAAAAAAGAAAAATCTGACGGGAAAGAGAGGATTGGAGTACGAAATTCTCTGATTGTAAGCAGGGAAATTAGGAGAGTCTTTACACATAAACCAGAAGGAAAGTGCTATGGACTAAATGTGTTCCTCCCAAAATCATATATTGAAGCTTTAATCCCCAATGCCACAGTAGTTGGAGGTAGGGTCCTTTGTCAGAGCTAATGAGGATTAGATGAAATCATGAGTGTAGAGTCCCCATGACAGAATTAATACCCTTTATAAGAGGAGGAAGAGAGCTCTGTCCCTGGACTATGTAAAGACACAGCAAGAAGGCAGCCATCTGTAAACTAGGAAGCAGGCCCTCACCAGACACTGAATCTGCTGGGACCTTGATCTTGGAGCTCTCAGCCTCCAGAACTGTGGGAAACACGTTTGTTGTTTAAGCCACCCAGTCTATGGTTTTTGTTACAGCAGCCTGAACTGAGATAGAAAGTTAGAAAACACATTATTCAAACAAGGCCGCCTAAACGTGGCACCAGGGAAGAGGACTTAACGATTCTTCCAATACCCTTTGTGTGTCAGCCCAAGGCCACAGTCACTGCCCCCCCCTCCCATCACCACCACAAACAACATTCATATTTGCATACTTATGTAGTCTTTCAACTGTCGCTACAGATATGCAGGCACATAAAAGTACTTATATTCAGGAAAGTTCCCATGTATGCTTAGACACACATAAATGCATTTGTGTTCAAGAAACGGATCTATGCCCACAGAGAGCAAGCGATATACCAACACTAGAATGAGGAAGTGAAAATGTAAGTGAAAGGGTTTATGAATAGATGGGAGGGCAGGGAATGAGGGGGTGGGTGTTGAAGAAAGTAAGTAGATGAATGAGAGAGAGATCAAGTGAACGCAAGGAAAGAGTGCTCAGTAAAGCATCCAGAGGCTGGACAATTGACTGCTGGATTCCTGTTTGCCAAAGACTGAGGCTTCAGTTAGTCTCTGTGTTGTGTGCTGGCCCACAAGGCTCTCTTCAGGGCACTTACCCACCTCTGATTCCCTCTGTGTTTCCGGGGTATATAATACACTACCCAGGCATCTTCTCTTCGGCCCCTTCCTCTCTGGAATTGGGCTCCTAGCTTCATTTCTCTGGGCTACTATGCATTTTCTGGTGCAAATACATCTCTGAGTCCCAGCAATCTTCACAAAAGTGAATTTGAGTATTAATACACAAATCCTGAACTGTATGCACTGGAGTTGCAGTTTTTGATATTTCACCAAAGGGAGACTAGAAATCATGTGTGCATATATAGAAAAGGCAAAAGCCAAAACAATAATTCTCCACAGGAAGGAGTATATCACTCAGTGCTCGGCATCACGTGAGTAAAAAGGGAAACTGTAATCT